TGGGTCACAATCCTCACAACGAAAAAAACTGTTCAATGACTATGCCTGGAATGAACAGTTATTCAGGTTTTACTCTCTTGTAAATTTACCTCCCACAATATAGCAAAATTTACCCCTGGAAAACAGGACAAACCGATCCACGCACCTCACGCACACAAGCTTCTGCTAAAGACAATGGTGGCAGTCTCCTCTTTGCTTTGTGTCGTTTATTCAAGCCGTTCTGTCATTATCCTTCATAATCGCTGTTTGCTGCGTGATTTTTGACGGCTGCACGCGTCGATATTGAAATGCAAATGCCGCTTTTCTGTGAATCCATGACATCGTGATTCGAAATCAAATATTTAATTAGAGGAGAGAAAAGGAAGCAGAGAGGAGGAGACAAAGAAAAACATACAAGGGGGATAAACAGAGAGAAAAGAAAAAAGAAACGACAGAGAAGGGGCGGGGGGGGTGAGAAGGGGTGAGGCCAGGACTGAGTGTGTCGTGTGGCAGGGTTGATACAATGAGGAAACAGGCCACCATCTGCGCCCCAGGGGGCCCTTTAGTCGAGTCTGCCTCCACTCACCCCCCCCCCCTCACTTCTCCCTGGCAGGCTGGTAACAAAGAGCCAATGCCTCGCCCAGTGCAGGCGAACACATTCCATCCGCCGCGATCTGATTTGCCGATCGCTGTTGCAGTGCGCGGCTCCACTCCACCCTTCCTCTCACTGACCTTTGGGTTAGCAGAGCGCCACAGTCCTGGAGGACAGGCAGCCACAGCCCACGCAGTTTTAATATCATTACTGCTTTTGTCCCCCCCCCCCCTCGTGATCAGAGGTAGGCGTGCCGAGGTCACTCTGAGCGATTGCGGAGATTTTCCGGAGCTCATAAAAGATAAAGCGCCTATCTGGTGCACAAGGCTGAGGCGCTCGGCGCAGCTGAAGGTTCCAGAAATTGCCCACCGTAGCAAAAAAATCAGTGCAAGTCTTCATCTTGCAGCCTGCATTATTCATTTATGCCAGTCGATTCAGAGGCATGGCAGAGTGGGGGTGGGGGGGGGGGGTTATATAACACGGGAGGCTGGGACACAGAGGTAGGGCGATCCGGAAGGCTAGCGTGGTTTAGAAAAGCACTGCGGCGCTACACGATGTCACACGTGAGGATTTAAACGCGCCGAGCCTGTGCTCGCGAATCCTGCCGACCTCTCACAAGTCGTACAATAAGCGCTCATTCGTATGTGGTCATGCTGGAGCTGGGGATGTGAATCAGCCAGCAATGAAAAACAAAAGGCAAAAAAAAACTCAGCTTCCATTCTTGCGGACCGGGAGGTCATGGAAAAGGGGCCGACCACAAAAGAGAGACGCCCAGACCTGTGATTAGCTTAAAGCTCCAAGCAGTGCGGAAGGACGGTCATGATTAAGGACGCTAAGACTATCACCACAACTAGACAGCTGTACTGAGGGAAAAACAGGTAAAGCTACACACACTTTGAGTGATGGTCAACCTGCATTTCATAGGTGGATAGTTCAGGTCCAGAAAGTAAAAATCCAGACCAAGATTTTGTTTCAACCAGCTAGTTGAGTACTCTGTGACTCTTTATACTCAACTAATTGTTTGAGACCAATCTTGTCTCAAATTCTTGGTCTGGGCTTTTACTTTCTGGACCTGAACTATCCACCTCTGCTGCATTTAAAGTCTAAATTGTGCTTCTGGCTTTAGCATGGATGACCAAGCACGGCTCCAGTGACTTTTCCCTTATGGTTGGCACCCCAGGGGCCACAGGCAAGGGACACTATGGCCGTGAGTCTTGGCTGGCGTCCTTCACACCCAGACTCGGAAACGGCAGGCGTGCGGGGACATGGCAGCGCAGGGCAGCCTGTCGCTACGCGGTGGGGCAGGATGATGTGCCGTGACATGGCAGTGAGGGGTAATTGGCTGTAAAACCGTAGTGCAGGGTAATCTCCAGAGACATGGCGGTGTGCAATTTTCAGCGGAGACAAGGCAGGACAGATACAGCTTATGCAACCAACCCCACAGTCCCTGGAGGCTTCTCTGCCCGCCACCCAAATCCCACAGAGATACCCCCTTTCTGCCAGCCCTGTGCTCCCCACGGTGCCTCTCCACTCCATGCCACTGCTCAGTGTGCTGCTAACAGGACGGCCTCCCTGTTTACTGAGCAGAGGGGCTCACCGTGCACAGACAGGGAGGACCCCACCCATTCAGCCCTGATCCGCCCATTCATTCCCCATTCACCAGAGCTCTGTCCTCAGACCTGCACCCGTGTTTTGGGTTCTCAGCAGTGCATGAAGTGCTTGTTCGCACCTGTGCCCCTTGCTCATGGGAGTGTTACAAAAAAGTTCTGATTGGTTCAGAAAGATAACCAAGTAACTAGAGAAGGTGGGACCAACCACCCACCCTCTCTGCAATTTCATTGGTTATCTCTCTGACCCAATCACCTTTCATTCTGTCCTAAGAACATTTTTGTGTAAGTTAAACTCCCACGAACATCTCCCTTGGCAGCTCTACCTTGTTGCACTTTAGGTGGGATCATTCCAGCGCTCTTCCTTTTTGTTGTACAGACACCGAGGAATTGTCAGCAAAGATGTTCATGTACCGTGCCCAGATCTTCCACCCAACCCTATTAGTCCTTTGCACACATTTGTTTCTTTTTTGATTCGCTGGTTTGGTCTTTTTACTGGTAGCCCTTCTACTCGGACATTAGTATTTAAAACAAAGCTATCCCTGCTAATAAGTGTCCATGAAAACTAGATCTAATCCCTGCATATAATTAATTTACGCATGCGGAACTTTCCAGATCTTTTTCAGCTTGTATTTTTTCGCTGCACTGCTCTTCCTGTAAGATCTAAGAGGGGCAAGCAGTCCCAGCTGCCTAAAATCCTTACACAAGTCAGGTCACTCTAATTGGGAAAGGGGGAAGGGAGGAAGGAAGGGCAAAGAGGTGGAGAGAAGAGAAGGATTTTGGAGAGTGAGGGAGACAAGAGAGGGTTGGAGAGACTGGGGACGTGGTGAACGTGCATTTTTTCAGGCTCAGAGGTACAGCTTGCTGGATGGAGTGTAAGCTCCAGAACTGAACCTCAAGACCAGGTCCTCTGCCTTAAGAACAGGTGCCACTCTACTAGAAGGCAGAACAGATCGCATCCTACAGGTGTCAGAGAGTCAGACACTTTGACGGATGTCATTATGGCATCCTCATCACTCACTATCCTCATCCACATCTCCGGCATCCACATCTCCGGCACAGTACGCAGATGGATGCATCGCCTGTGCTGCCTTGTCATCCAGCCGGAAGGGCGCTGCTTACATAATGCACACATCCACACTCGACAGACACCGCACCACTAGTCTTCCAGCTCCTCCCACGGACCCCTGTGCCTCCCCCTCTTCCCTGACCCCACTGCAGGTGAGAGGTGTTGCTGATACCCGACACCTGTCAGAACACAAGCCAGAGTTAAACATCAACCAGCAGCAGACCTGTCACTGTCGCCCTGAACAAGTGGATATGTAGGTCACTGTCGCTTATGCATTATCACTGCCTCTGCCTCCACTCCCTGTCTCACTGCATCGCTGTATTCCTCGCTCACCCCCCCCCCACCCCATCAGCTCATGGCATGAATGGTTGCTATGGAAACTGCATCTCCAGGGTCTAGGAGGGGCTCCTTTTCCAGAGCCAGTGATGTTTCCGAGCAGTGAAACTGCTCCCCTAGCAACAGTCTTCCTCCTCCTGAGGGCCAGTGGACCAGCTACCTCACATAAGCATTTGCTGTCCAATAGGGAGGATACCAGTTTATATCTTTGCCACTGCATGTGGTTGCAATGTAAACAAGCCCCGCCTAGCCTACCCCAATATTCATCCCTGTAACTACTTTGTCTGTGTGAGTGTGTGTGTGTGTGGGGGGGGGGGGTGTATCTCCCCCACCAGCTCAGCCAAAAGCCTGTCAGTTAAAGCCCAGTTATTTCTCACTAAGGCGGAGATCTTCATCATTCTGGTGAAACGCCCAGCTGCTTTGAGTCACCTGCAGCCTGGGGGGTGGGAAGCCCGTTGATGCCAACTGTGGTGAAAACTACTGGGCAAGACTGAGCATAGAATCGATGGTCTGATACTGCTGACGCTGCCTGGGCAGTTTGTCAACACCTCTGCTCCGCCGGCCTTGAAGGCAAAGACCTCACTTTGTAAATGGATTATTACTAGCAACAGCGATTTGTAACACTAAATGTCTGTACTCAGAATTATTAACACCCATGTAATTACTTAAATTAATCATTCATTGCAGAAATAATTGCTTTGGTCACCTCTAGGCTCTGCTACCTATCTTCTTCCTCATCTACCGATGTTAAATATTTTATCACTACCACTAAAATGACTACGATAACCTCAACAGATATTGACCTTGCTGGAGTCTCAAATGAGGTGAGCCCCTCTTTCTAGTGATGTGCAGAAACTACATCAAAAGCAAGTGAGGTATAAAATTCTACTATTTCTACAAGGAAACTGGTTTTCAAGACCTCCGCAGGAGCAGGACGCATCAGATCCCAGACTAATTAAAATGATTGCATCTGGAGGTGAATGACATCAGTGTCTTCATGACTAAACACACTGAATTTAATGCATTATAAATGTGCTGTATATATCTGCAATGTATATACTAAACACTTTAAAGCAACTGGTAAATACTAAGAATAGAAAACAAATTGAACTGAGTTCAATTTTGGAAGCCAGTGGTACTGCTGTTATTGCTGATGACAGTTACACTGTGTGCAAAATATGATCTTAAGTCTCTACAGCCCCAGAATCTTCTTTAAAACAAAATCCCAAAATTCACTGACTAATTTGTCCATATCATCATCAGCCTTTGGACTGCATAGCATGTTAATCAACACTAGCAGTTCTTTGTCAGTTATTTTATTGTTACACAGTGCCTGTCTAGTTTTATTCAGGATTATCTAGTCTTTAGCTCCAGTTTGACAGTGTAGGTCCAGTAGGTGCCGGGTGGTCATTCTTACCTCCACTTCCGCTGGATACAGTGGGCCAGTTCTGGACCAAAACACCATGAGCTCCCTGCAGGACTGAGGACTCTTCCATGTGGACAGAACTACAAGGAAACAGCAACAGTACAGGTAGACTTACATACAATCAAACCACAACTTCAGACATTTACACACCTACTGCAGGACTACAGATCTGTATGTGGAGGCCAGGATGGCTGGAGGACATTAACCCAGTGTTACCCAATCTGGTCCTTGGGAACCCACAGATGGTACACATTTTTGCTCCCCTCCCAGACAGGAGCTGGGAGGGAGCAAAAACATGAACTGTCTGTGGGTCCCCAAGGGCCGGATTGGGAAACACTGCATTAACCAGATGATTGGCTCATGAAAAAAAAATCAAGCCAATTCTACCCTCAGCAGTGACTTTAACATTGCATTGTTAATGATAGGTTGTATGACACTGCTTCAATCATATGTCATCAAAAATGAATAAAATTACAAAGCGTCAAAAGCTGAAGGGTTGCCTCCCTCTGTTTAGTCACCCGTGTACCAAGCAATGCTGGAATTACTGTCCGAATGTTTGGGTAAAGGGGATTCCCCAAACCCGCCATTAATTTACACCTGCGGAGCAGAAATGAATGCAGAAAATATAAAAGCAAAGCCAGACAGTGTACTTACACGGAATATGAAATACAAAAGGCTACTGCTAGCACTGAAGCTCATATGAGGAAGCTTACAATACACAAATTAAAGCTGAAGTCTTTGTTCAATGTGTTTATTTAATGGACAGTTATGAATGTGATAAGCTAATATTTAATACATTAGCATACAGGTATTCAAAAATGCTTTCAAGTGAATACATTAATTTAAAATTGAGTTCATTATGGACAGAGGTATTGATGCTTATCTGCTACACTCCGCGTGTCTCCGTTTCAGCGCCAGACTGGAGCTCCTGAAATACTATCATGTGACCATATACCCTCTAGAAGACCCTGCTGAGCCCTCAGAGAGAGACTCTACCTACAGTCCTCCACGGCCCCGCCTCCCCATGCTCCATCCATCTGCTACATTCTGGCCGGCTGTCTGTTTTAGGGAGGATGAGCAGATGACACACCTTGTCATGGCACTAAAAAAAATGCACCTGCTCCCAGCCCCACCCCGGCCTTTAAGAATTACAGCAGACCTATTTTTCTTCATGTCCTACTTTATCCCAGCACATTAGCATACTGGTGCACCATCTCTGCAGAGACGCATGTGGTTCTGTGCAGTCCAGTCTAAAGAAAGACTATGTGAAGTTAGAGGTTAGCCTGGCTGTGCAGCTGTTAATACGGAGCATATGCAAGAGGCTGCATACATTTAGCAGTGACCTTATTAATGCAAAGGGCACAAGGCAGGTTCTGTGCAGAAAATGATTAACCTGATCATGTATCGCTGTTAGCGTTCACCATTTTTAGTAGTGCATTTAGGTTTTATGCAATAAGCGATTAACAGTCAGTCTGGTTCTGTGCCTTAGTTAGTATATAGCATATAGAGAAGGTTTTGCAGGAAAATGATCACCCTGTTTGTATGCTACTGGTAATCTGTTGTGTGAGGTCAGTGGATAATGGCACGCACACCCTTGGTTGAACAAGGTTAGCAGTTGTTTGTGGGTCATTGTTCATACAGCATAGAAAGACTTTTAGCTATTAGCAGCTGAACTGTTATATACTATATCCATGCAGATCATTATCAAAGAAGCTGTATGTATTTAGTAGCTGGCCAGTCTGTGTGCTTATGCTGTCGGTCAGTTGGCCATTTGGTGAGATTTAGTGCTTAACTGTGCTGGGCGTTTTAATCAAATTTCCGGAGTATTGTGCATGACTCCAGTGATTTGTTTTTTCTAATTTCAAAATGCTTTTGTATAGTTTAGCAAACCTGAGTCGCTACCCAGAAGATCTATTATACTGTAGTCAGAAAATGCATCTACTAGAAAAGCAGCTGGCAAGTAATGGAGACTGGTAAACCGATTCCAAGTACCATCTGAAACCAAGTATAAAATGTAAGCGGGACATGAACATCCACTGACAGGGTAGAGTCAAGTGACAAACCCATTCATCACATGTACATATTTAATAATAATAGAAAACAGATTTCTGTCACCCAAGACAATCAGACCTACATTACCTTTCCAAAATCTAACGTCCATGTTGTGTGTCAGTGAACAACCCTTGGGTTGAAGATGAAGTGGCTTAGTTTGGTTCATACTTCTCTCCACCATTTGTTAAACCTTTAACCCAAATAAGATCTCTATTTAGGCTCTGTTCACTGTCCGAGCTGGAATAACTCATAAAAAGATCAAATTAATTTAAATGGACTCTCCTCTAGGGATGTATATGTGTGATCTTACCTTAGTCCACCTACTGCAATGCCTTCTTGTGAAAACTGCATCGCCTCTTCCGAGGAAAAATGACAGAACATCTACTTCTCTGTATCCAGCAGGACATTAAGCGAGAGATTAATGCCAGTAGCCCATGTCTTTTCTAAATATTTTTAGGAATAGGGATTGGCAATATGACAGCAATTATTATGGCGCTAGGTTAAAAATAATTTACCTTTATTGAGAAAATTATTTTGTTATTTAATAAAGCAGTGGATCCTCTGCCTTACATAAACTGCGTGGTGTCTGTATCGGGGACTTAAATCACTGGGGAAACGTGGGCAAAAAATGTGGGAAAAGCTAAAAAGTCATAAATCATGAGGTATGTAGTAATAACATGGTAAGTGAGAACTGAGTCATAGTGCCAGACAACCTTCTGGAAGAATCTAACAAGAGAACTGCAGCACTGCAGCCTGTCAGGCCACATAATTAATTCCCAAAGGTGCAGCATTTGCCTCAGTGACCATTCTAACTAGTTAATGGTGCCCAGTCTTCAGCAAGGCGATGTTAGTCAATTCAAAGCACATACATGGAATATCAACAAGAGTAAATAACTACTCAATTACTGGGGCCACAATAGAAGCACAGGAGACAAGAAGAGAGCTACAGAAGGTTTAGGAGACATTATTAATAGCGGACAAGGCATAAAGGAATAATGAGGCATAAAAGTCACAATGGGATCTGATGGCATTGAGTGAAATCACACTGGATATGAAGCAATTACACGATTATATCAGTAAGCTTGTTTGTTTGAGTTTTGGGAACAGCGTGTGATAAAGCTTACAAAAAGAAATCTGGACAGCAAACTGCAACTTGCTTGCTTTCCTCAGTTCAAATGGGTGCACAGGAAGATGAACTGGCATTGCTTTCATTGTGGTTTAGATGTAGGAAGAATGTTACAATCAGAAACCATTGGCGATGTTTGCGAGGTTTGGAAGCAACCACAACAAAAAAAAGGTTTTATTGATGTTATATTAAATCAATAAAATTGATATTCCGAATCACTATATTTTATTAATTTTCATATTCAGATTTCAATCTATTGGCCATCAGTGTAAGACCCCCCAAATGAGGGTTAGCCATGTGTATTTCTGTCCATACAAAGGGAAGCCCACTATGATGCAGTACAGAAGGGCACACAAAGGTTTGGTTCACTTAAGATTTAGTTAAATATATCTCACAAATACATCATTTATAGTAATATGTTTGTGGCTTTGTCAAATCATATACCTATGAGATTAGACATTAAAAAAAATCAATAAAACAAATGTTATTACAGAAAAGGAACGGCTAATATTTTGCAGTTGTCTTGTTAATTTAACAGCTGTGACACTTTGCCCTGAGAGGCCAGGCAGCATGTAAAAGAAAGGAAATTGATTTGTCTACGGACTGCTTTGAAACAGCACAAAGCTACTCCAAGTGACATTCCAAAGAATAATGACTAATTATCGTCTTATATTTAATAATTTTGCATTTACATGGTGGCCAGTTTGCTAATATATCTAATTTAATTAGCATTTTTCAATTTCTGTTGATAGATCCCTCACATCATAATGTTCCTGTATAGCTGTTTCCAGCTTTTGCTTTTTAATTTTTTTCCTAGTTCAGCATCTACTCTCACCTGTGGAGATGTTCTGCCTCCAAGCTACTTTTTCTGGTGATTTTTTCCCTCATGCAGCTGTACGATCCCTGTGAGATTTTCCTACACAGACGCCACCATTACTTGCAGCAATTTCCATTTCTGCTTGTCCTGCTTCCCATGACTTTATATATATATATATATATATATATATATATTTTTTTAACCATGGCACTGTCTCTATAACCCATAATCCAATTACCAGCGGTGCAGTCCCATGCAGGTCCTGCGTAAGGCTTCCAGTATACATGCGACGTCTGAAATTATGCCGCTTCGTTACATTGTTCTCCCAGGGACAAGATCTGCTTTGTAAAAGCAGAGTGTTTGCGACTTAGGAGATTTAAGTTGAGTCTATCCTATGACTTAGCCTTGTGTGAATATGCAGCCAAAATCCAAAACAGAAACACAAGGCCTCTCAGACTCATAAGCTCATAGCTCAGTGGTGTAACCCCAGCCCAGTGGAATAAAACAAACACTGATCTTCCCCTTCGGTAATACTCTGCTCAACATTTTACTTCCTCTGAAAATCTGGAGCCCACATAGGGCTTGACTTGGGATTACTCACTACTTCATTTCTGCCTTGGGTAAAGCTGCCGCTTTGCAGAGCTTCCCCTTATCTTCTGTAATAGTCGGCCCTCCGCATCAGACTGAGACGGCCATTTACATGTGCGATCAGCAGCACGGCCTGGTGCTGTGCATTTAATAATTGGCGACTTTGGCTGCATGAGTGACACCGGAATGGGCAGTAACTCTATGGTCATAGTTGCAGCTCTATCACCAGCTGTCTCTTCTGGCTTATCTCATCTCAGACGCCTGCATCAGACTCAGCCCCAGAGGGAATCCTGTAGGGTGAGACTGCAGCCGAGCTGAAGTGAATCAACGCAATCAAAGAGTAGGCGATCTTAATCGAATGTGGCTGTTGTGCGTGTGGGTTTTCATTGCGACTCCCTAATATGATTAGAACTCAGAGAACTGACTGGCTTATGAGTCCTCACACCTGGGTTTGAGCAGCTGACCTAAAGGTTACCCCAAAAACCTGCACACACACCGGCCCTTTGTGGATGAGATTTGCCCCCCTGACTCAGACTAAGGAAGGAGAGAGCGAGGTCACAAAGGGATATTGTGAAGAAGGAAAATAGGTTGATGGGAAAAAAAAAAATGCGGATGATTGAAGTCTGCTTATCCTTCAAAAAAACCTTTCATCTAAGGATGAACAACCAGAGTTATGATGACTAATAAAATGCTTTGACTACTTATAATTACTAGAATCCAAAATGTACATTGCGGCATATTGCAGAGATACATGTGAACCGACAATTCAACTGGAAATTTAAGGACAACGAATGACTGTGAAACGGGGCATAGGGTATGTCTGAAAGCCCTCAGTAAGAGCTGCGCATGATCCTGTGCACTCAACCGCAGAAAAACAAAGAGTGGGTGTGGCTTAGGGGGCGGGGCCTGTGACACGGGGGGGCACATGTACATGCAGATCATGCAGGCTTGTTGTCTCACTGACTCCCTTCTCCCACCCCTTCCCTCAACATAAAATTCAAATTGCTTTATTGCCATGACAAGGATAATCTTACGCTGCGAAAGCATGGACAGGATTCCTGACACTAAGACATCTGTATTAGAGTTGTTCAAAATTAACAGAGAATTAATTGGTAGAAAGAACAGACAACAGAACACAAACAGAAATTAAGGGTCATGCTTACAGACAGCTGCTAAGAACATGATGAATTATCTTGCATTGTGGTTTACTGTGTGGGGCTGCCCCACCGAGCTCAAGCTGGGGGAGTCCACCAGCCCCAGCGGCCTCTCAGCGGGCTCAGGTAAGCGGCTCCCAGGGGACGCGCCACCACACATGACCCATTTTCCTCCGCATGCGATCAGGTCGGGGTTGCTGCGCTTTAGCTAGCCTGCCATAATTGCGAATCGGCTTTCCACGTTCAGAGCACGAGCTTCAGTGACCGCATTTCACTGCAAATTGCTCGGCGTTTACGTGCGAATGCTCTTTCAACTGGGCCTGCACTGGTGGAAGCCGATGCTCGTGGGCTTTAACTCACCCGGTATCCTGGGAGCTTTCCATAGCTTGGGATGGCAGTAGCACTTTGAGCCCACGGCTACATAGACATTATTACTATGTCCCACACACGACTGGCTAAGAGTTTGCAGTGGATCGATATTTGCTAGCTGTGGACCACGGGAAGGAGGTCAGAAGAGGTCTATTGCTTGAGTCTGCAAAAGTAAAACACAGCTGGCACTGTACTAAAGATAAAGTTAAAATCCTTACCTTTTCACTCCCGCCCTTAAGGAGGCCGAGTATCTCCAGTCTGCACTTGGAGGCTTTGGCTGCAAGAGAAGATGGACGAAACATCAATGGAGAGACAAACAAGTGTGTCTTTCTGTGGTCTTCACACATCAGACAACGTGCTTTAAATTAGCAAGGGATAGCGATGTAGAATCCTGACGTCTATTAAGACAGAGGCGCTGAGAGGGCATGGCCAGTTCGCGTCGATGCCCTTCATCAGCACGATGACTTTGGGAGATAAGCTCTTTACCACTCTAATCCATATCAGGCAGGATTAAAGAGCGGTAGCTGACTCAACTTGCTCTTTCACACACGCATCACACGGCCCTAAAGCCTCCCTGGCAGAAAGCTTTTACATCGGGCAGTTAAGTTGCGATTAAAATGCACTAATGTATATCTCATTAGGTCTGTGATTGGTTGTCTCAGCTAATCAAAACCACCTCCTAGCATACAGTTGGCTAGTTTCCATCAGTACCATCCTTCAGTCTGTAATTGAGTATCTCCGTGACTATGGCCAATCCTTTATTAGTACTGTGGGTGCCAATGCAGCTAAATCTTCACATTTGGCAGCAACCTTGAGCTGAGCAATCAGACAAAAGGTGCCACGGCAACAACACAGAACTACTGGTGAGGTCGTAAAAGGTAGAATCAAACTAGGAATTAGCATGTTTTCTGTTTGGATGGGCCATCTACTCGGAGTCTCCTTTGTGGAAGGTAAATGTAACATGTTATTCAATGACAGCTGTCAGAGCATTGCAATTACAGCTCAGTCAAAGAGAAAATACAATTTTGAAGTGGCCAAACTAGGTGCTTCCTAGTACTACACTCTCAAAAAAAAATGGCAAAGATTTGTACCTTTGTTTGTTACTGGGGCTGAACCTTTGTAACTGTACCTTTTAAGGTACGGAATTGGACCCTGAGAAACATCCCAAAGGTACAAACAGCGTTAATGTACCATCAATGGTATGGAAATGTTCCTCAGCGTTCACATGTGTACCATGAAAGGTACAATTATCTACATCTAAGGGTACAATTGGCAGGCCACTGAGGGTATAGCCCCAATGACAAGCAAAGGAACATTTTTTTTTACCCTTTTTTCTGAGAATGTATGTGACACAGTAGCTGATTCTGAGCCAGTGGATATAACATGGCATGGGATTTTAATGCTAACCATCTACAGGTCACTGGTGTGTGTGGAATCTGTGAGGTCATCTGGGTGCTGTGGAAAATCCTAGAAGTCTTATGAAACCTCAAGCTGGCCAAGCCTCTGAAACCGATACGGAGCTGCCTTCCCGTTTCCATCAGGCAGGCCTGCCCTCACTCTCACGCAGCCAGAATCCGATACGGAGCTGCCTTCCCGTTTCCATCAGGCAGGCCTGCCCTCACTCTCACGCAGCCAGAATCCGATACGGAGCTGCCTTCCCGTTTCCATCAGGCAGGCCTGCTCTCACTCACTCTCTCTCTCTCCATCACATGGCTTATTCGCAGCTCGCCCGCTGTCAGGAGTGGATGAGAACCACCGAGCCTAGCCACAGCTCAGACTGCTGACAGTCACACCTTGCATGGATACAGCAGAAAACCACCAATCACAGCGTTCCCTCTGGCCGCCCAGCCCCCGACGCCCACACCTCCTCACATTAATAGGAAGACGTTAGGCGAAAATAGGCTGACAGAAAAATGCTTATCTAAAGACCTGCCTTTGCAGATGATTTACATACGTTTTAAATGCATACCAATGATCTTCATTGTATAAGGAGTGCATTTCAACATTCATCCTTGTCATGCTGATTTCAGCGACAGAAATGCTAGGACTGCTTTAGCTTAAGAACATCCCCTCCAACAGCCAAACGGTAAATAACGGCAGCAGTTTGATTACATCCAGACACCCACATCGGCTGTGGTGAGTCATTCATAGCTGGGCTGCCTTCATGACAATTAACAGCTGTGGCTGTGGAGCCAGGAATGGCTGCACAGTCTGGTTAGCACAGAACAGCACAGGCTAACAGAGGGAGGACAGGGCACAGGCTAATGCAGACAAACAGATAGAAACACATGCCGGTGGCGATGTACATCATCGAACAAACACCTAGTAGTAATTTCAAAGCTGAAAATGGAAGACCAATGAGCAAGACACACGTCTGAATTAATCATACACACAGCCAGGACAAATAGCAGTGGTAAAGGCCCACAGACAAAATAAAAAAGTGTTTTACTTTTCATTCAGGACATCCATTTGTTTATGAGGACAAATGTTTCAAGGGCTAGAAAAATTGCAATGGAAATGCACAGTACAAAAGAGTACTAAATTTTCTGGAATACCAGCTGACTTAAATAAGGTTTGACTGGTGGACACCACTGTACATTAATTAGTTTTGACACAATAAAACACACACGCGCAGGGAAAGACAAATTTTCACATACTTGCATATTCATTTTGCAAAAACACTGATACCTTACAATACACTCTATCCATTTTTATACAGTGACAGTAATAAATTAATTATAAGGTCACAAGAGATTTTAAATGTTTCGATTTAAATCTCAAGACAGGAAAGGTAATTAACCGTGTTTCACCAGGACTGGCATACAATGAGATTTACACAAAATTGCTGTAGATAAGATCTACTACATAATAAATGAAAATGGGTTTTTTATTGTCCTAAAATGGTTTACTGCTCACTGGAATAAGGCACCCAGGACCCCACCCTGTTTACGGTTAGCGAGATCAGAATTAATGGTCGCTGCTCATCCATGTCGCTCACCAGTGACAGAGCTTAACCTATCATAAAATGTATTACTCAGTGGAAACAGATTTAAAAAAATAATATAAAAAATAGAATAAATAAGGGGCAAGGCAGCCAATCCATAGGAACAATGATGCGTTTAATAATAATTTTTTTAAGTATAGATATTTTACAGATTATGGCATTATACCAAAAACCGACAGGCACCAAGCAGGACAGTGCAACTTTTCAAACCTTGTAAATACCCAGAAGACTTTGCAACTAACGCCTGCATATGCAGCTGTAGCAAAGTAAGTGAAAAAGGAATCGACACAATGACCAGGCCGCAGGAGGGTGGCTGTGACCCCAACTGATGCTGTGCACACACCTGGATGGAGGCATCGGGCATGCTGAGTCTGCGGACGAACACCTGGCTCTGGCCACTCTGGCCGGTGAAGAACCGCTCGGAACCCATGGTGCCGCCAGGGACCCCGGTGTTGTAGAACATGAAGGTATCGCTGCCTGAGGTGGCGGTCAGGCACGTCTTGTAGCAGTAGGTCTTAGTCAGCGAGCCGTTGCCCCGAACCTCAATGTAGTGCGGCTCCACCTTGAGGTCGCGCCGCAACACTACATTGTTATTGGGCTGCGACCCACCCCCGGCAGCTCCAGCACCGCCGGCAGTACCCTCCGTCGGGGCTTTCTGGGAAACACAGCAGGGGGAGCAGGACCCCGGCCGAGTACAATAGGCATGGCAGCGCACGATTGCCAACACCACCACGGTCAGGAGAAACACAAACGTCGTTGCACTGAGCGCCACAATCAGGTACAAGGTCACGTTGGAGAACAAGAGTGCACTATTAGGCCGGATGATCTTCTTGGGGTCAGGGGTCAGCTTGGGCGGGACCTCCATCACAGCCACATTGAGAGTGATGGTAGCAGAGAGTGGGGGCGCACCGTGATCGCGCACCAGCACTACGAAACTGAAGAAGGTGGAGTTGTCCTCCACCACTTTGCGAGTAGTGCGGACCTCGCCCGTGTGCTCGTGCACCTTGAAGAGGTCCGGCTCGCTGACCTGCTCAAGAGAATAGAGCAGCCAGGCATTGGGGCCGGTGTCGGCGTCGTACGCCGTGACCTTGGTCACCAGGTGTCCTGCCTCCACGTTTTTCAGCACAGTCTCGGTGAGTCGCGTGCCATTGGCCAGCGGGCTGACAATTTTGGGAGCGTGATCATTCTGGTCCATGACGTAGACGTAGACGGTCGCCACGCGGCTGCGTGGCGGGACGCCCCCATCTTGAGCTTTCACCTGGAAGTGGAACTCTCGCAGAGTCTCGAAGTCAAAGGCACGCAGGGCGTAGGCCTCCCCCGTGTCTGCCCTGATGGCCACGTAAGACGTGATGGGGATGCCATGGTTGTTGTCATTAAGGACGGTGTAGGTGATGCGGGCATTCTCGTTAACGTCCGCATCCAGGGCCCTGACAGTGCAGAGAGAGGCTCCAGGGACATTGTTCTCTGGTACATAGACGGTGTAAGACGTCTGCTCGAAACGCGGCGAGTTGTCATTCACGTCTGCCACATCCACCTGAATGATCTTCTGAGAAGATAGCGGAGGGGTGCCCCCATCTGTGGCACTGAGCGTTACGTTATAGCTAGCTACGGTCTCACGGTCCAGGAAGGCCGATGTAACTAAGGTGTAGTAGTTCCTGAAGGACTTAATCTTGAAGGGCAGACCTGGGGAGATCTCCAGGTTCACCTGCTTGTTGTTACCCGAATCCCGATCTGTTACACTGATCAGTGCCACCACTGTGTCAGCCCGTGCATCTTCCCGTACGGGGCTGGAGAGCGAAGACAACACGATTTCCGGCACATTGTCGTTCACATCAACCACTTCCACAACCACCTTGCAGTGTACAGCTACAGCTGATGGGCCCTTGTCCATGGCCTGGACATACATCTCATAGGAGTTCGTCTCCTCAAAGTCCACGTGGTTGCGCACTCTGATCTCACCTGAATTAGGGTCTATGCTGAACATCTGCCTCACCCTCTCTGGGGTATAACTGCTGAAGGAGTAGTACACTTCTCCATTGGAGCCCTCATCCAGGTCTGTAGCATTTAATTTTATGACTAATGCGTCCTTTGGCGAGTTTTCCAGCAACTTCACTTTATACACGGAGGTGTCAAACACGGGGACGTTGTCATTAGCATCCAGCACACGCACGTTTATTTTCACGGTGCCAGTTTTTGCGGGCGTGCCCCCGTCAACGGCGGATAGGACTACATGATGAAAAGGGGTCTGCTCGCGATCCAGTGGTTTTTTAAGAACGAGCTCTATCATTTTATTACCGGGAGAAGGTTTGCTGGAGTCGAGCGTAAAATGCTCGTTGGGACTGAGTCGGTAAAGGCGTATTGAATTGGAAGTATCATCGGCATCTTGCGCGCTTTCAACAGGGAACCGAGCTCCCGGTAAAGTCGATTCTGAAATGTCCAGTTGGTACTCGTCCCTTGGAAATTGTGGTGCGTTATCATTTACATCGAGCACCTCCACCTCCACATTGTACACGTCCAAAGGATTCTCCAGAACCACCTCCAGGCTCAAAATACAAATGCTACTAAACTCGCATAACGTCTCCCTGTCTATCCTGTCGTTGACACACAATTTCCCGTTTTTATGATTGATGCTGAAATATCGTTTTGTGCTTTCCGAATTTATTTTAATCCGACGGGTGGAGATCTTTCGTAGATCTAGACCCAAATCTGTCACAATATCTCCTACCACTGCGCCCTCCTCCAGTTCCTCGGGAATCGAATAGCGTACTTGTCCAGATACAAGGCCACAAAAGAAAAATACGGAAATAATGGAAATAGGCACATACTTCTTTATGCTGTTACATCTCCCAGCCCGAGCCATCGCAAGCCCACAGAATCTGCAGACGGATGATTATCAGCTTTCCGCCTTTTCAGCTTGCCGTACCTTTCCTCGAGCCACCACATTAAAAATGCCCATTGAAGGATACACCGTTATATGCCAGAGGGCCAAAATATCCTCTCCGACACATCATAAAGGCGGTTTTTCATTGATACATCCATGCTTTTCTTTGTTCCTCCTAATTTCCTCCTCGCTACGGCTGTCTCCGGTTTCCTTCTGCTCTCTCGCTTGCTCCGCTACTCTGCCTGCTGCTGTGCGCGATGGTGTCTGTGCTGGGCTGCGGGGGAGGGGTGCGAGCGCAGGGATCGCTGGCTGCATTTCAGCACCTCCAAAAAAATCATGAAAAACGGAAGCCAGATGCAGATTCCAAGAAGTAAATTTGTATTGTTATTATATTTTGATTTGTTGTTTAGATATATATTTATTTACTATTGTTTATTCAACAACACATGTAACTGAAAATCGCGGAGTCTCTCATTTCAAAACAACGCCCCGATCATTTTAACGAGACCCTTTTGTTTCGATTGAAAACTGCGTTATGAAATTGCCTAGCAAAGACAAAAAGAAATATATTATGCACGGCGCACGATAAACTTATAAATAATTCTACAGTATGGATTTCAGTCCAATTTTCCCAGGTCGAAGTACCTCATCAGCACCTCATTTTAGATAGCAATTACATCTCAACACGGTAAGGCTGGGCGCTCCTCGTTTGCCAAGCGCTGTATTTAAAACGGTCCACAGACAGGCTGCCCCCACTTCTACTGAGACGCGCCTTTATCCGGATCGAAAGCTAGCAAAACGTTTTGTGTGGGGCATTTCACAATTGTTGCTGTTTGTTCTAGGCCACCACTGGGTGGTCCCTAATTCTCATAATACCACCAGACTGACCCGAGGACGCTGACCGCATTATCCGGTTCATCATCGAGATTCCCTTAAGTGGCCCCCAACTTAGCCGTCGAGATAAACTGTATCCCGATGTCAAAGGTCAAAATGGAATCGCTCAGAAAAATCATGGGAAAAGGGAAACGGGAAATTCCCACCGATGCCTGCTGCGGTCCTCAGGGCAGCATTGTGCTTAAAACTGTGCCGACAAAGTGCTGTAGTCTGGTGTTTCTTTGTACGTTATTGTGTTTAATTATTGAACAGGGAGAATGAGTTAATCAATAATGTGTCATTAAGTTTACTTATCCCGTAACAATAATATGACATAACCATATATGGCTTATCATAGCTTTGCTCTCCTATAGGTAATGTATATCTGATATTTGAATAAAAAGAATAAAAGTATAAAATGACAAAAGATTAATCCCTTCCTGTGTGTACACCAGCCCTATGCCCTGGCTAGGCTCTAGGCCCCCCATGTCCCAGACCAGGATAAGTGGTTAGAAGATGACAAAATATATAATTTCACCAGGCTATTGTATAAATATAATATCATTTCTACTTGGAGCTGAATTCAGGGTTTATAGATATGGCACTCTAATAAAAGCAGAGCAGCAACTTTTTATGAATCAATAAAAAAGTACCACAGCAGCAAAAGCTATATCACAGCCCCTGCAAGCTAATGATTTAAAGAATATCACATACCCATTAAACTCTCCAGACGTGTGCTTCCATAACCTCTCTCATGACCCTAAGCATTAGCTGCAGTCAGTAGGGGTATCACCATATAACCATCAGCAAACGGATGTCAGCTCCGCGTCCGCATTCGTGTGAATTAATCTTTCACTTCTTTGTAATAAATGCCAGCCGCAGTAACAGGGTGTTAGTGCATTAGCGTTTAAATGTCAAATCAACCAGGACAAGGTGCAGCTCTGTGATCACAGGTGATGGAGACCAGAACTTATAACCTGAATCATTCTTTCCTTCTTTCATCCAACTAAAAGTCACGCTGTCGTATGAATGTGTGTGTAGGATGGTGCAGGTGGAGTATAGGGACAGTGTGGGGGTGCAGTGGGGATGATGTAGGAGCAGTGTAGGATGGTGCAGGGGGAGTATGGGGACAGTGTGGGGGTGCAGTGGGGATGATGTAGGAGCAGTGTAGGATGGTGCAGGGGGAGTATGGGGACAGTGTGAGGGTGCAGTGGGGATGATGTAGGAGCAGTGAAGGATGCTGCAGGGGGAGTATGAGGACAGTGTGAGGCTGTGTTTGAAATAAAATTTGCTTAAAACAACTTACACTAACAACATTTATAATTATCACATCATTTAAACATCTTTCATGTTTTTAGTGACCCACTGAAGATAATTATGGGCTAATTTATCAATGGCAAATTGCTGCTTAAAGAACTCAGTAATGGAATGGAGAATTTAGAGTTGAATTTTGTTTGAAATCTGTCAAAAATCCTAAAACTGCACATGCACATATAGTACTGCATTCTTTGCTTGGTCTAATTTAGCTCTCCCTCCAACTGGTGCACCTGTTGACCTATAAGCGCACTGCACACTCCAAGGTGCGGTCAGCTGAAGGCAAACAGCGCCCCCTTCAGCCAAGGCGAGCTGCCGCCACTGAGACACATGCATGCCCGGCAGACAGTCGAATGGATTTCACACCCGGCAGGAGACAGGAAAGCGGGGAAAGTGGTATTCAGAGAAAGCAGAGCCAGAGCTACAGGCAGGGCTGGAACACGAGCTGCAGGATGTACTCAAATTATACGCTGAGCAGGACGCTCAAGCTGGGCAGGGAGCGGCAATGTTACCTAACTGGCATTCAGAAAGCCTGCCGCACCTGCTGTGCACGGGGGGGGGGGGGGGGGGCGACCTAAAACCCTCCCCAAATTGGTACTTGTTCTCCGTCCTGTGCATGAGTGGTGTTTCAGTTTCTGAGCACCTGTGAGGTTGGATGGATAGTAATTAATGGCCATGTTCAGTTGTATAATTACTGCAATCAATTATACGGGATACTGTTAGTAGTAGGGGCACATACATTATTTAAGTTGCCCAACTTGTTAAACTTATTGAGTTTCAGTAACTCGGCAACTGTGTTCTGACTGGACGACCTGCTGATTCTGACGCCGACAACCCATCTCGTTTATGGCGCAGAGTGTGAGTGTGCATGGTGTACGAGTGCCTCACACGTCCGCGCGGCGGCAGGGAGACGGAAGCGGTGTGACACTTAGCCAACGCATCCGTGGGACTGCATGTATTCATGGAAATCCAGCCATCTAGATCTCATCACTTCCACCTACAGACTCACAGCGCTAGACCTACCTGCTGCAGCTCTCCACTTCATCTGCTGTCTGTCTGCGATGTGCACCACTGTGACTAGAAAAGGACAGGCCTGGCTTGCACACTTCAGAAGCCGTTTGTATACTCCCAAATTTGTAGGCAAGGAATAAATAGCCTACTTGTGAGGTCAGCGATGTGTTTGTTCTTGTTTAAAGATAGATATATTCGCTGTAACCTTCCCAGACTCCTGTAATTATAATATCTCACATTTCCCCCTTTCCTCTCTCTCCTATTTCTGGAAGCCAATGCAAGCCCATCTTGGTCTAGTCTCTTCCATGACGGCATATGAATTTTAAGTAAGAAGCTCGGAAATGAGAAGTGAGAGGCTGGAATCATATCCACACCATGACTATGCATCGGAAAAGTGGTTGTAGAAGATTGATGGATGGATCATTAGCGTTATTAGTATCACGATTATCCTAGATTAACTTTCAGATGACTTATAAATTTAGAAAGAAAAACGTTTGATATTTCACTTGCGCAATTCACATTAAGGGTACAAGGCCACGATTTTTATCACACCACCACCATGAAAATAAGCATTTCCACATCTCGTATGAAGAGATTTAAATATATAGCCGATGCTGTGGTCTAACAGTTATGGAGCCATTTAGGTCGCAGCCAGACCTCTCTTGGGCCACACAAAAGATTCAGAGATAAGTGTTTGCTGTGCTGGTCACTGTGCTCATTAATAGGGGAGCATGGATCTCAGCATTAGCTGCTGGTGGATGTTGTGGCCCACAGGGATGCAGTGTGTGGCCTCACTGGCTTTCAGATCAATCTCACATCTCACACTTCCTACATTCACTCGCAGTCTTTAAGTCTCAGTGAATAATACTTCTATATTTAATTATAGTCTCATAGCTCTTATACTTATGGAATGTCAATTCACACTCTGCTGAAGACTCACTGCTCTCTCTCTCTCTCTCTTACACACACACTCACACAGAAATAGATTCTTTCACACCCACTCACATTCATGAAATTTTTCCACAATGCATGCACAAATATGCTCATTAAATCTATGTAAATATATGTTATATTAAATCTATGTAAATGTATGTTAATGCTCAAAAGCTCAGATAGAAATAAACACTGTAATATTTCAGCATGCACATTGTCATAAGTCTACAATACTACATCACTAAATTACACACACAAAGCTGATGTAGATATCCTAAATACACTCACATATGCACAGACAGACAGTTCAGGTAGAAAAGGTAAGCACAAAATAGACAGAGGTAATCCATTTCAGATTTAAATTCCAGTTTACTAGCATTTACTGCATTCGATAAGTTTGGTACCGGACATATTGCTGAATGTGTGCAAGAATTATTGTTTTGTAATTTCCTTTGTGTCTCAAAAATATTCTTCTGTAGACAGAAGATACATTCATCTATTACACACCTAGGAAAAGCATCTGGGCCATCTGCAGGACAGGGGTAATGTCTAGAGAAGCTAATGTCAACCTCTAAAGGCGCAAACTGGTACTGCAACAGCGGCGATAGGCTTCTCTGCCGCTTTCACCCACACTCTCCCTGAAAAGACACAGCTGAGCATTTCTAATGCAGACCGGAGAGCAGCAAATCCTGGGAGGACGGGGCTGATGGGAAAACTGTGTCAGCACTCCATCTGAGACAAACACTCGGAAGCTCTACTAAGCCTGCCGGTGTTGCACATAGCCAGGCACACGAGGACAGGGGGTTCAGTACAAGGACAGTGTGGGGGCATAGTGGGGATGATGCAGGAGCAGTGTAGGATGGTGCAGGGGGAGTATCGAGGCAGTGTGGGGGCGTAGAGGGGATGATGCAGGAGCAGTGTAGGATGGTGCAGAGGGAGTATCGAGGCAGTGTGGGGGCGTAGTGGGGATGATGCAGGAGCAGTGTAGGATGGTAAAGAAGGAATACTGCGACAGTGTGGGGGCATAGTGGGGATGATGCAGGAGTAGTGTATGATGGTGCAGGGAGAATATTAGAAGCCATCACAGCAATAGTGAAGAATAGTGAACAGTCTAGTGTGAGAACACTGTGACTTAATACAGGGACAGCATGAGGACACTATAGACACACACTAGGGACAGAGTAAAAACAGCAAAGAGAGAGAAGGCTAAAGACTGTGCCGCCAGATGGAGGGGGGTCATGCATAATTAGGCTTCTTTCGTGGGTAAAGGTTGCTTTAGGCAAATTGTGATGTTCTGCCTATTTTTAGTCCCCATTATTTGTTTATCCATCCATTCCTACTCCAACTGCTTATCCAGTCCTGAGTTGGTCCGTCATGCAAGCCAGAAGCAGCACGGGCCACAAGGCAGGCCAGTCCAGTCCATTGCAGCATATCTGCTCAGCTTTTCTGAAACAAAGATCTGACAACTAACCAATTAAATACTAACAAAAATGTACTATGATATTAACTATTCAATAGACAAGTTGACTTTTTAACCGATGCCCATTTCAGTAATAAGAATGAACTGGAACAAATGCATAAAGCACCCGTTTATGTTTGCTTCTTCTTTAATACTGTCATATCTGAAATAGATGCATTAGTAGCATATTGAGATATGAAATAAAACAACTATGATGAAATGTGAAATATATAATTGAGAGCTCCTGCAGCAGTGCTTCATCTGTAACCGAAATAGCAGTGGCACTAGAAATGCCAAGCTTCAGAGGCAGACAATAACTCCCTAATGTACCCCTATATATAGCATTATTTAGGAACAAAAAGAAAGTCTGGTCCAGAAATGTTATTGTTGTC